TTAGAATGCGCGCGTTTTCCGTAATTCAACAATCATTTTAAATCTCACAGAATGAGGACAATAATGTGACTTGTGACATGTGTTAAAATGTGCAAAACAGTTAAATATTTTTATTTAATGGACAGGTACCGCACCGGTGATAAATTCCATGTATAGGTGAATGCTAAACAACGAAAACACGACAAGGTATGCGGAATTTCTAATTGTGGAAGTTCGGCGAACTTTCACAGACGCTTTGTTTTGCTACTTGCTGTTAGCTAAATGGTTTTTACTAAAAAAAAACGAAGTTGCTTTAGTCCTTTCCAAATTTCACTAACTGTTCCCAGTCTCTATCATTAATGTTTGTACTGAGGACTTGCTTTCTAGCCCAATTAGATATTCTCTTTAAAAGTGAATTTTGGACAAATTTATGCAGGTTGCAACTGATACAATATTCAGAGACCCAACGGGATTAAAACCGTTCCGGCCTGTACGAGGTTTTTAACGATTCACTCAATTAGACAATTTCCTGAAAGTAATTAGGTAAATCATTATTTTGGAAAGCGAGTGCTGCATTTCGCCCAGCCGGATTCGGTAAAAATGTGTTCGTCCGTGCTTAATTATAGTTTGATGAATTTAATTTAGATTTTAATTTAAATGGTGCACAATACAAAATTTAAACGTGTAAAATATGAAATTAAATATCTCCTTTGTATGTGGGACGTGGACCGTTCTATTTTCCACACAAATTAAACGTTTGCCAAATTGCATTTCAACCCTCACAAAGAATTGGCGTGGTGGTCTATGTTTAATTTGGGCTAATAAATTTTAAATGAAAAATTGCGAAATAATATATGGAAGGTCTTGCGCGTGCCCTTTCTAATTTTTTGTTTAAACGTCAATTGCTCTTCATAAATTTTCCTTTGATCTTAGTAGTTGCAGCAAGTATTTTATTGGGAAGTGCTTCTTTGATGCGTTTTATTGCAAAGTTTGATTGTCAATTTGAAAAGTGGCCAGCTTTCATTGATTTAAAACTCGTTTCTTGGGGAGGGCTGACCCCTGGGCTGACCTTTCTTCATAGATATGCTGATATGCTCTAGAAATCATCATTTTTCTTCCTTACAGTTCAGGATGGTGGCTAAATAAACCCTTTTTTTTTCATATTAGTAGAGTGGCCAGAAGAGACCATAAGATTTTAGTGCGTGAGGTGGTCATGAATTGGCAGTGACCTTCTATTAAATATTCATTGTTTTTGAATGTGAAAATTCACAAAGGACACACAAAATCATTTAGGAATCTAACACCGAAAGTGCAAAATGCAATTTAATGAATAGAAAGAACATTTATAATATTTCTAGTACTTTGTTTCACCAAGGAAAATCACTCATATATATCGCACATTCTGCCTGCCTGTACATCTATATGTTGATTATTGACTGTTAAACAAGAGACTAATTTCGTTAGACGTTAGATGTCTATTTGATTCAACACTTGGACTTAACGAAGTAAGAAATAATGCCGCTCAAACACGGATGACAATCGTTTTTAGATGAGTACTCGTGGGACAAACGACAAAAGAGCTATATCTGCAAAGGTTTGTACGGAAAATTAAATTGGGCCGTTGTATATTTCGTGCAGGTATTTTCAGACAACGGAAATACGTTCCATATTACCTACCTGCGTGAACTTGGCTACGCTTCTACAGGTTGGTGTTTTGTTCATAATTGCAATTACCAGAATAATTAGTGAGAATAGATATGCACAGCGATTTAATTAATCCATCATAAGTTTAATTAAACTCATGTGACATAATTAGACTACAAAATGTACAAAGTTATTTGCGAAAAACGCCCCCGTGTTGTCCAGTTGCTTAATTGTTATACTAAGGGCAAAATCGGAATGAGTTTGCATGCAGTCGATAACCGACGTACCATCCATAAGGGCATCGAGGCATTATTTCTCTATGCTGGCTAAAACAGAACCTAATGTAAGTTATGGCCCTGTTACTGCATCCTTAATTGATATTTGTGGTCTTGTGGCAACAATTGGAATCTTGCAGATAACTAAGTTTAATTAATGTATGGTAAATGTGCATCGTACATGCAGCACAGGCAGATTTTCAAGCTATTGTATCTCCTCAAACACAATTAACGCGCTTAAACGGATAATAATATGATTAAGAAACTCAATGGAGATTTACTACACGTATCCTCTACACAACTAAAGTGGGTGGTTAGTTTGAAGTATCTAAACAAAAAGACCATTTGTGGAGGTGGCTTTCTAACGAGACGATTTTATACTGAAACGGACCGTCGACGTATAACAGAGAAATGAAATTCTAATTGTTATTAGCAGAAGTTTTGTTGTTATGGCGTTAACTAAATTTGCACTTCGGAGGGTTTTCGGAGCGCCATAAAATTTGTAATTGTCACAATAACTCGACTATCAAATTAGGTTATAAAGCGCAAAACCACTTATGAAAGCTGCTTTATGCCCTGGCGATGCTCTGAATCTTTAATACGCGATAATTTCCCACAACCTTTACCTACTTTTCCTGCAGAGTGGACGCAGGTGGTAGCGGGATCAGATGCGGTTGGGAAATTACCAGTGATTAAAGGAGAGGAAATGCTTTATTGTGAAATGGCACCAGGCATAAAAGTGAAGTGGTATAATATAAAATAAACCACGTAACTAATGTGTTAATGAAGATACTCTATCAGATTTTCCTCATCTATGAAAATTTTAAATTGGAAAAATCCTAATTATACAGATAATGCGTTCAGGCGCATCGTATGTTTTTTTTTTTCATTTACACACACATTTAAGCAGTATACCTTAGCTCTCGACTGCTGAAAACAGAACTTTATGATCTAGAAATCGTGTTAACGTCTGATAAACAGATGCATGAGCAGACAAATAGAAAGTATGTGGTTTATACAGAACGCTTTTCGCGTCAATTTAATGTGCATGCGCCATTTTCGAACGTTCTTTGGTGTTGGATTGAACTATATCCGAACACGATTTTTACACGAGCGACATATTTATTTGTGGCGTCTAAATTATTAAAATTTAGTGGAAAAAATGCTAAATAGCGTTTCAATGCTTTTCTATCAAAAATAGATGTGTAAATTTGTAAAAGAAGTATTTCAACACCAATAGATAATAGATCATTTTTCGCTCTTTTCAATAGTACAGGAATTGTATGTTTTTGAAATTGTGAAAAGAGAGTTTTGAAACTTCCGTCAAATGGCCTTAGAGAAATGTGTAGTTGGTGGATATTAAATTGATTTTCCTAGTGGAATCTCTTCAGACTCGCACATTTTAAAGTAAAGCTGTTTTGTCCTGCTTACATTAACGAACATTTGACACCTAGTACAACGAAGGGCTTGATGACGGCTGGATTCTAAACGGAAAAACCCGACCAATTCCATCCTGTGTCGTTTATTAACAAAAATAGTCATTTACATGCTTAACATGCCTCAAAAGAAAGATGCGTAAGAACAATAGGAATTAATTACCTTGTCATGTGTTATTCTTGAATGAATCTTTTGAATAAAGATGTAGAGAAATTGCTACCTTAATAAAACGAGTAGATTCTCAATTATACGTATCTAATGCTTTTACGAATGCATCTAAAGTAATTTTTGGAAATTGTCAAAACGATAAAACCTATAGTATCGTATCGTTACTTGAGGGAAAATGTGGTCAAGATACAGGTCGCGCCGGGAATACTTACAGTAAGAAGAAAAGTAGGCATCTTCGGTTCACCTGCGACAAACTCTTGTATCGTTCCAATCTTACATAAGGCGAAGAGCTTGAGTACTTGAGAAAGAACTAAGAAGCTTGACGAGAATAACTCCTTGGAGATACGTTATCCAGAAAGTAGAACCCCTTTCATTTCGGGGTTGTATATACTTCTCTTCCGTAAAATTACTTTCAATAGTAGATAGTGTGTACTGTAGAGGTATATGAAAAGCGATTATTATTCATGGAAAGTGTAAGGTGCGATCTAATACCCATCATACACACGGCTGTGCGGTGTTTCAACGACGAAAACAATACAAAGTGATTAAAAATGCAAGATAACCCACCGCTCCTTTACAGTTGCTATATTAATTGGTTTTGATATTTATTATGTCGGTTTTCCGCGAAATTGGAAGTATATAAAGCGATATTGCTCAACTAAGTATCTGTGGTTATTTCTAAGTTAAGTATCGCTATTAAACATAATAGGCTCTTGGAATAGTTTGTACTCGTCCCTCCTTAATGGCTCTCTGCGGTTTTAAACAGTACTAGCAACTGGTGCTAAAACTTGCTACATTTATATCTATTTTCGTTACATGACTCTAACACGCCTAATGAAATAGACCCATATTGGAAAACATAATAAATTGATCTCTCTGATGCGCCATGAAAGCTCCACGTTCTATACATCCTTTTGTTTAAATCTTAAGCGCGATGAGACAGTAAGTTCGTTATAAAATTGAAAATAGAAACGACGACGTTTGCACTCTATCGTTAAGTTAGTCAACATAAAATTTCCATTTAAATATTTGAAGCTAGTCCATTAAAATAAACGATTTTAGAAGCAAAAGAACTTTTCGCGAAACTTTTCTTTTAGACAGGAATTTAAGAAATCAAATAAGCGAGTAAAATGTAAGTTTTGTATCAGAAAGGGCGGTACCTCAAACCAAATTCGGGAATAAATCCTTTTAAAACCATCCATGCATCCAATCGTGGAATTGTTCTCCGAACGGACGAAGACGTTTGATTTTGACCGGGACAATTGTCAAATATGAAATCGAATATTGAGTCAAGCTAAGGCAATCATAATATTTGCTCGACGTGTAAACTGTCGGACCGAGAAATTTTTCGGGGCATAGGCAGAGATAAAATAAAATCACGGGCGGAGACGAAACAGAAAGGGGAAGAAAATTCGATGAGCGTCAAAGCAATAAAGTGATGATTGCAGCAGCCGGTGAGAATGAAAGGACGCATTCTGTACATTCCGTTTGTTCCAGATACAGATTTTCGGGTTCAACTCACAACTGTATTCCAACTTCTCGGAAGCGCTACACAAAGCCCAGGGGATTGTGGTGATTTCGCTACTTTTACAGGTACGTATCCGATCTTCCACGTCTGATAAAAGTAAAATCGTGTTCAAACCTTGACAGACGTTAAATCCATTTATTCCCTTGCAGAAAAAGAGATCAATTACTATGGAAATTGGTATTGGGAATGAAACATGGGAAAAATTATCGAGTTTGCTAGGAATTTGGTCAGGTTTCCACCTAGGTTTCCATATTCACATATTCAACATAAGTAGCCATTTAAGGTTAAATGGAATTGTTTTTTCAATGTTCATTGTAAACATTATGACCCATTGCGCTAAAAAGGTCTTGTTCTTTTAGTTAAACATTCGGCAATCAAACAATCAAGTTCCTATACACGGTATGCACAATTCTATTTTTTTTGTCACTAACGCTGTAGGTGTAGGCTCACAAATATTGCATAGAAATAAAACGTATAGAATTGAATATATTGTAACTATGAGCCCTGTGATGTATCACTAACGTTAAACCTAACGCGCAGGTTATCTGTCAAAAACGTCATTTTGCCTATAGTAAATAACTCAAAGTTGGGCACCTTAAATAGCATAATACTATAAGAACGCTGCAAGCTTCGCGCTTCTGTACAGGGTGTCCCATTAATAATAGTCGCAGGCCGTATCTATGGAACCGTTAATTGCACAGCTTCGAGAAAAAAATGCTGTTAACAAAAGGGGCCAAGAGAAATCGTTGGAAATTGTTTTCAAATTTATAGCTTCGCGGCACATTGCTCTAGCTCATAAAATATGAGGGGTGGGGGAAGGGGAACATCTCTTTAAGGAATGTAGCTTCAGTTTAGGTTAACAGATTTTCACATAATAGGTCTTGGAAAGAGCTCTCTTGTGAATAGAGTCATTGGAAATTTGATGAGTGGTAGAGGGCGCGATATGACATTAACATAAACTTTGCTGGTTTTTTTGAAAATTTCAAATGGAACAATCTAATTATGTTATTATCAAAAAAGATGAAACAGTCTGTGAAAACCGCATTTTGATATGGCGAAAATACGAACATTCACAAATTTTAATTACAATATTGATGCTCATTCAAGTTGACTTTGAAACAAAAGAAACACAATACAGCTGAGAACGGGACCCCTTTTCCCCTTCCAAAGCCCCACGCTAAACTCTACTTTTCTCGGGGACTCCCAGTGTTTCGAAGCTTCATGAATGATTTGGGTTGATTACACTAATCTTCAATTTTAATTTTAACGTTGCCAAATAATAATTTTATTTAGTAGGTACGTTTTTTTTTATTTTATAATTTTTGTTTTCAAACTGATCTTGTTTTGTTACCACTTATTTTTCGATTGGAGATTGGTTGGATGTCTTCAATAAAATAAAAGTAATGGGACCGCATTAGATTCATTACAAATTTGCGATCAGGTAAAATGTGGACAGACTATTTTTTTACAAAACTGAAAGCGAACTTTTTGGATTGACGTTCTACTTTGGATTGACGTACTACCGTCTGTTAAGTCGCAAAGAGTATACGTTCTTCTGAAGAATTTCTACTAGAACTTGATTGGACTTAATTTTTCCAATCCTGTAATGGGCCACATATATGGTACGATTGATCTATCGAATCCGTCGTTTCTGACAAACGTTTAATCGATAGTGTATGTTAAGATCGGCGGTCGTTAGCAAATAGGCGGTCTATGGAGGATCAGAAAGGTGTTCGTTCCCCTTTCGAGTGATAATGTTTCCCCTCTCCGTGGTCGAGACCTTCTCGTACAATCTAAGACGTTATTTCACAGAAAGCATGGGTCATATTCGCTTTCATTCCTTATCACCGATTACTAATCCTTTATTGACTTGATCACGCCTCGCAAATGTTCTAGAAGGATCGTTACAGTACTTTTATAGAAACACAAACGTCAATTTTAGATTTTTTAATTTTTACCAATAACGCGATTAAGGCAATCGGGTTACCATGGATTAAAATTGCTTTACTAATAAAAGTGTAACATGCAAATAGATATGAGGCTAACTAAATCACAGACAGAAAACAAGTAAAATAAATTCAACAATCCTTTTGAAGTTGCGTATTAAATTTTTGCATAGCAGCCATTATAGGCAGTTAATAAATCACAGAATGTTGAATTTGTCGGATTAAATATTATCAGGCTTTTCTTCGAAAGTGCCATGCAGTAGGATTATCTTTGCGAGCCAAGCCTATTACAAAATAAATTATTACCAATGAACACTGCAGTGCATGCAGTTTAGTTTCTAATGCTTGTTAATTAAAGGCAAATGTTGTATGAATGAAAATTAAGCAGGAATTAGTTAAAAGCGCTCGCTCGTAGTTAATTAGACGACATTTTTAGCGGCTTATGCAGGATACTGCGCCAAGCCTGAAATTTATTAGCACAACGTGAACGCTGGTTATTATAAGTGTATGTAGGTATCTGTTGGTTTCGTGTCAGTCACTGTCAAACGCAGGATTTCTCAATGCATGACGGTGAAATTTGCTACGATTACCTCGAGCAGACTGTTATCAAGTAGCAGATTCGTACAACCACCCATCATAATATTAAAATGACGTGATGTAGACGTATAAATCGCTTATCAATTATTCGTTGTTACTTCGAAGGATAAGGTCGCGTATATAGACCAAACTAAGTTTGAATTCGAGCACTATAACACAGCCTTAAAGACCAATCTGATTTCCACCTAGGAAATTTCTTTTCCTTTAAGTTCGGAATTCCATCACAAAGGCATACGACTCAATCAAGAATTCCAGGCTCCTCAGAACCTGCCACTTGCCCGTAAGAGGATTTCTAATTTAGTGGCGTAGATGAAGATTAAGCTGTGGGTTCATTTACAACTTGATCTGTCATGCATTTACAAAGTTTCTAATACGAATCACGAAGCATAATGCTTCACGTTAGTAATCATAAAAACATGAAACAGTTGGAAGCGGATAAAATCAGTTGGAAGGTATAAAGGATATTGACGACGAAGGGTTACCTGAAATTAAAAAGGGTAGAAGCTTAGCTTGATCTCAGTGTGTTGTTGACGTGGACCTCAAGAGGAAAGTGTGTTAGCGTAGAACATCTTGTTTGATACTTTACGCAACACAGATTTTATGTTTATAATTCATTTTTTACACGGGCACACCTTTAAGATCCGCAAAGAAAGACATAAAATGGAATGACAAAATATGATTTCGTTCATTATTTATAATCAAAGATGTTTATTTTATACCACAGAAATATTAAAGTTTGGGGAGCGCGAGGCTATTAGTATATTCACCTACATTACGGAACGGAAATAGGTAAACAGATTACCCACCGAAAAAGTTTGAAAAGCTCGCAGTTAAACAAATCTTTTAAATATTCAAAACTTAATTCGTATTCCACTTTCGGCCAAATAATCACTGTAAAATAATGCTACAATTTGCCATATCTCTCCCCTAAAACTAAGTACAGAGACATAAACGAAAGTGGTTGTAGGTAAATTCCCTTACTTGTTATGCAAATGACATTGTAGCCGAACTTTTAAAACGCTCTTTAAGCCACCAAGTAATCATGCAAATTTCTGTCGTGTACCTACTTTAATAATTGTGTTCCACGTTACGGCTTCTGCTGAAATACGGAGTCACGTGTAAAAAAAGGACGCATGTAATTTGCTACATTAACCCAATATCGTATTATAAAAGGTATTGTTTATAGCTCGACACAATTTTATGCTACACCTCGTTAAAGGAATATGTCCCGATTTCACGCAAGACTTACATTTCTCTACTATAATATGTAGGCAGTTGTTTATTTGTTTTTTGACTTGCGAATTTCTATTATTGCAACCACTATTGAACTATTAAAATTTGCTAAGTAAAATATCTCATTTGTGATTATCTTCACAATACACGACGTGTATGAATAAAGTTGGAGGTATACGCTGAGGAGGATGGTAGCTAAGTAAAATTATTTAGCAAGGGGGATGAGTTTGAGTAACAGGAAAGGATTAGAATAGGCCTCTTAACTGATTCTGAGTCTATTAATATACAAAAAGTAAGTTGTAATGGGGATGGAGAATTAAGTGATTATTGCAGTACAAACAAGTAAAACGGGAAATGAAATAAAATGCGTTTTAAGGGAAGTGTTAAGTTATGAAAGCAAATGTGAAAGATATGAAGTAGTAATGGATAGTAATTTCTGCAGTAATACCATACATTTACCTTAATTTATCGACGGCGACGTTTTTGAGGTATAGAGCTTTGCTTATTTCGATAAATCTACAGCCGTTACGTTACAAAAAAAGGTATTAGCGTGCTGTGATCACTTAACAATTCTTTAAGTGTCCCTCGCACTTTGTAATTTTGTTTATTGCATTTTTCAAATGGTTTTGGAGAATAGATAAATAATAATAATGATAATAATAATAATAGTTTATTTCCAACAACGTCTAGCTTTTTACAGAAAATATTACACTGAACTAAAACTAAAATGTAAGTAGCCTAAATTACAACTTTAAATTATAATAATTATTAGTACTAGAGAGAGCGAGAGTATTCACAAAAAATAAAAAATAAAAAACAAATCTACAAATCAAACAAAAAAAACATTATAATATTTAACTATAGGTATGTTACTTATTAATATTCAAACGCAACTGAACCTTATATTCATTAAATGCAAATTAATGGTATTTTCATAGACAACAACAATTTGAGCTGTAATACGTTAATATATTAAGCATTTTCAGGCGTGTATCTAAATTCTACTGGCACTCGGGGTCCATCAACAGCAACGTGATTCAGAATTGCAAGTACGCGGTTAAATCGGCTATACGAAAATATACAGATTATATAGCGAGGCTCACAACAGCAAGTGGAATCACCACGGCAAGCGACAATACTACAACGCGTTAGAATAATTGTTTACTTTTAATGTTTGTGCACCAGGAATTCTAGATTAGATGCATTTTGTTTACTGCTTGCAATGAAAATGGATCAACCGTAGGAGTAGGCAGGGCCAGATTATTCTACCTGATAACAGTATGTTCCACCGTGGAAATGTTCAGCTTTCTAGTTTTCTTCTCGGAAATGCTGCGAAAATCTTCGTCGGGAGCGCGAAGATGGTTTGATGGATATAATGGCCCGTATGAATAAAAGTAAGCAAATGCTTATACTTGCAAAATTCAAAGTAAATACTCGTAACTGCCCCTTCATACTGGTCTGTTTAGCATGGTTTAGCAGCGCTGCACTGTGTCCTGTCCTTCTGCTTAGAAGCGCTGATAAGTCGCCCAGTGCGAAGGAGCACTTACGAGTATTTACTTTGACTTTTGCAAGTATAAGCATTTGCTTACTTTTATTCATACGGGCCATTATCTCGCGCTTGACTTACTGTATTCTTAATTACCTTTTAGTCTTACGACGGTTAACTAAAAATACCAATTGGAGTTGTCATTAACACACATGATCTCTATATTTAGATTATGCATTTTTACTACGCTATAAAGTTTCTGTAACGGTGGACTCAAACCCCTCGCTTGTACGGCCAGCTAGCTCAGGGTTATAAAATGAAAAGGGGTTGAGGTTCCTCACAGAGGTTGTTCTTTTCGGACATAAACCTTGGCAACTTTCCATTAAGTTGAGCGCCACCCAGTTTCTTTGGAAGGTTAAAAAAAAGTATAAAACTAGGAAGATACGAAGGGGGTAGCAATGAGATCAAATATCAAAATATCAATGTATTTTTCTTCAATGACAACCAAAATCAAATAAAAAATTAGATTAAATTTACCCTCACAATACCAAATATTAATCCCCAAATGGATAAATTCCCTGCTTCAATAATGCTCAAACAAATTTAATTCATTGAATCACACAAGGATTCCCAACAAGTTCATGATTACCCAGTTTTGTATTTCGCATTACGAACTGGCCGCTATCTGTTATCTTGGCTTGATAAGAAGTGATTGCAATTAACGGTAGGTAGGCTCGGAACTAGACCTGGATTGTAACATTAATTTGAAATTGGTCTTAAACCCGAACTCGAATTTGAACTGGGTCACGGGAGTTCACTTGAACCGTCGTAGCGGTGGAAGTGGAATTGACATTTGGTTGGATTACGGGTAGCCTTAAAATAATGCAAGAGATAACGCCGGTAGTCAAAATTGGAGTCTACTCACACGTGCCGAATTGCGTTTAGATCCAAATATATCCTCGCTAACGGAGATACATACTCACAAACCTTTGAAGTCGCACAAGACGGATGGATCGACAAAAATAGCCAAGCTTTTATTTTAAACGGTTGCATGGAAAACATTTTCAACAACCACGTAACTGCGTGCCGAACGAAAAACGATGCCCGAAGAAGATGAAAATTAATGCGTTTTTAGGCTCGCGAAAATGAGGGAGTTAATCACAATATCGGTATGCCAGAGAAGCTCAAACTATTAAAGCAGTGACCGTGAAACGAAAACAAGTACCAATACGCGAATGACAAAATAAATTGTTACAAAGCTAGTTGCACCATCCATACAGCATTTTTTGCGATATCTTTAAAAAGTAAATTTTATGATATCTAAAAATCCAAATACAACTTGAAGAGTATACTGTTCAATTGTCTTTTCAAAGAACAACTTAAACCATCAGACATTGTCATCCATGCTTCATAGCTGGTGGTATGGTGGTAGGGTTGCGTTGAAAATGAATGTAAATTTGATCGTTTAATCATTATTCCACATTGAATCTGCAAACATGATCCCTATATGGTATTGAGAAGATATTAAAGTACTATTTTGTACATACCTAATGTTTATATTATATTTATTTTATTATATTTATTTTATTTTATTTATTTGCCTTTATTTTTGAGTGGGCGGGGTTTCAGCCAAGGCTGCTCTACTAACCCAACCCACTATATACATTTACAAATATCCATCTCCGAACCCGGATTCGAACCAAGGAATAGGAATTTTCAAAGACACGTAAAATTTACGCTAAAAACCAAGCTAAAAACAAACAGAGTTCATGAAAGCTAAAAAGCTTTACCCCCAAAATATTTTTCCGCTGCGAACGTTCTCCACATACTATGCATTAACAAAAAAGTGTTATAGAAGCTAAATGTCTTCTCATTCACATGATGTTCTATTCTCAAAATTAGCTTCATATAAAAAAAACATCATACATACGAATGCATTTTTATGGTAATCGTGTTTCTTCCCTACATACAGGGACGTCGCAGGCGGACTGCTCAGATTGGGAATAATTAAAGAAATTAATAAAAAATAAAAATAAAAAAATAATTAAAGCAGACAACAGCAGACTGTACGCGAAATGTCATATTCGAACGAACAAATGCATCTTTTGATCCTTACCAGGACGATTTTACACAATGCGTTGTAAAATTTAGATAGTCTGGTAATTTTTAATGAGTCATATCTTAAAAAAATAGGAATGGCCCAGGATACATAATATGCAAAATTACCACATTTCAAAATGTCAATCATGGAAACCCAAAACTTGTTTCCCATGGTCCATCTGTGTAAATCTTAAATGTCAAAGCGTTTTTCCATTGAATTGTTTTGCAAGTGCACATCGGCCAAACTGGTGTAAAGCTTATAGTTGGTTTCCTGCGTCAGAATCAATAATTGTACTCAAAAATCTTCCCTTAACTTCGTACTTCCAAAATTTTGCATACAGGGATAACAAACTTCACTTATATGAAACTAAACATCGACTAATTGAATTTCAACCCGTTAAATCTTTCGACGAAATCCCAACCCTTTCGCAAAAGCACGTACTTCTGTTCCACGTTTGGTAATGTTTCTATGGTTAAAAGCTACGTTCTACACTACGCACGTTCGACACTCAAACTCTTGACCGTCACAGTTATCAACAATAAAAATGGCACCGTTGACTAAAACAGGGAAATATTGCAAAAAAGCACATCAAACGTTGCGTTTAAAAGATGGTTTTTAATATTATATGACGAAAATATGTTAAGTTTACCAACTACAGTGAGGTTGTTTCTGTTGTTATATCAGTAATTCAGACAAAATCTTCACTATTTTATAATGCTATTCCAATCTGAAAACCGTTACTTTTTATGTGAAACACACAACGCACACCTTTTCTGCAGAGGAGTTTCTAGCGGAATTAATAATAGGGATGAAAAAGCTCTTTGAGATCATTAATTAACTCCAACACATTTAAATCCAAGTAATTTACATCTTTTAGAAGCAACTTTATAATCCGCGAACCATCTAATTAGAATTCTGTGCTTCAAGGAGCTGACGACTGTATCTTTACACAGATTTCAAAAGCCTACATCTGCTTAAGGTGATTAGGGTCAGTGATTAATTGATGGCTCGGTTTAGGCCGTAAGGTCGGCGTGCGGTTTGAACACTTGTTGAAATTGATCGAAACATTGCCCTTAATAATTTAACTTTAACAAATTTAAATATAATCTTTCACGCATTACTAACAGAAAGCTTTCGGTTTCAGTTGGGAGATTTATCAAATCCGGAGCTGAGGATATTGACCGATCAATTAGACAAAATTAGATACGGTGGTAAGTTTTATCGACGCGCCTGTTGTATGCTTACGTACTTGACGCAATTTGATTTTCAGGGGAAGAAGTAGAGGTAAAGAAGTTGTCGGTTCGGGGCTTATTGCCAGAAACGGATTACTATATGACGTACGATGGTTCGACGACGATGCCAGCTTGCCACGAAACCGTTACGTGGTTGATTCTCAACAAGCCTATTTACATCACTAAGCAACAGGTAGTGTGACACGTTACAACTCCTTAGTAGGTGCTCCAAACTGTCATATGTCGTTATTGGCACCCCGAGATTTCACTACACAAAGCAACTTATTTGAAAACCTATCTTCAGTTAAAGGAAAATTGAAAGTTAAAAGCTTTTTTCGGAAAGTTATTTTCCATTGACATTTTTAACGAGTTTTCATTATGTACTTTTTTTGCAATTTCCCTCTACTCATATTTTTTTCAAATATACAGTTTATTTCTTTGTACTGGTATATTCAAATAGGGCAAAGGTTATAATTTTTGACTGAAAATTACAAGCGCAAGGCGTTCCTTGTTTGTCTCCGAGCAAAAAGATGCTCAAAACCGGCAGGGTGAAATTTAATATACAACGGCAGTGGCAAAGTTCTACAGGAAGTAACCCCAAAGTAGATAAATACTAAAATTAATTACGGGGAACTTCGTAAATTGTAAGTGATTAAGGAGCCTTTCTTGTATGACGTAATGACATGTTATATTGTTAATTAATGCTTACAAGTAGGATATTGCTGTTGATAGCTAGTAACCCTACACAAGGTTGCTAATGATTAGGCGAGGTACAGGTAATTTATGCCTCTAAAATGAATTGATCCACTCGATTTTCCATCTATTCACCTGAGTTGCCTCCGGAGGATCGCATCGCCTACAGCAATTAATTAATTGTGACTGTAGTTCACCGTAATAGAATTGCGCATTTTTATTATTTGCGTACTTGATTAAGTTTCCTTCCTTGACGAGCTTTATTTTAAATTTATCGCTGGATTGGCTAACTTGCGCCTTTACTTCAGAAAACGGTGATCATTGAAAAGATAAACTGAATCAAAGAAGCAAACTTCCCTAATTGCATTTTTTTTCTGTAAATGCGCGGGATTTCGATACCACCGAAAATCGCTGTTTACGACTGCAGATGAACTGGAAAAGTCACATTGGCGCCATTAATTTACCATCCGAGATTAAAGTGGTATTGCCGTTCAAAAGCAAAACCTTCTGCAAATTACATTAATCTCCTATGATATTAACATGCAAGTATGTTGTTATTATAGTAAATTTTACACATCGACATATTTAGCATTTAGAATATCTACTAAAGGGGATAATGGTTCGTTTGAATCCTTCCAATAGCGACGGTGTTCGTTTAAGTATATGAAACATTGGCGATGGATTAAGCAACAATGATGTGAAATGAGGCTATCCCTTCTAAATTCAAGCTTTAGTTACATAATATCCTTCTTTAGTGTTAGAACTCGTTGAGAATCCTATCAAGCAGATTGCAACGCCAACTTGCCTAATAGCCGAGACAGAATAAAATACACAAATAAATTTATTGGGCGCTACCACCCCTTCCTCTCTGTATCTAGGTGTTCAGCAATGCACCTCTGCCGCCACCTACTACAACCTTCAAGTTGACTAAAGAAATACTAAAACTAAAATCGATTAATGTGTAAGTAACAGATCTAAGATTGATTCTCTCTCTGGAATGAGTGCTTTCGGGGGCTGTAAAAACAATTTAAAAATTCCTATGGGAACGATTGCAGACGGTAAATTACATACGGCCTCTTATCTTATATACTGGCGGTTCTACACATTAACCCACTAATTTCTACTTTATATTTCCAATTCCTACACAGAAATCAATATTTTAGTAGCGACAATGTCCGTACCGAAAACCCCAACTTTTAGTTACCGGGTGTTTATCTACAGAGTGAAAACTAATAATACTAGTAATTTCAAGACGAAAAATAGATTCTTCACTTTTTCAAATTTTTTTGACGGTAATCCTCTCGATGCAAATAATCTCATTACCTACTTGGGAGATCACAGTTCGAGTTTTGTTTGTTTCAGGAACACAAAAGTTCAACGATAAATCTTAGAATTCCACCAAACGCATTTCTTTAACGCATTTTTTCAAAAAAATAAAACGCACTGTTACGGGTGTTTTTCCATCCACCCTTCCGTCCCACGGACGGACGCTTTTCTCTTGGCACTGGAAAGTATTAGAAAACTCGTTGATATAACAGTACTCCTATTAGTGCAGCAAGAATTTTTCCTTACTCACTTCGAGATTATATCCAAATTTGAAAAAAATTTCATCCAATTTCTTTACGGCAAAAGAGGCTGACTTGATGTACAGGCACTGGATCTTATTCTTCTTGTCATACTTCCTTTTTAGTGAAAACTTGGTGGATCAAATCTTTATTTATTCAACAATTTCATCGAGGAAACTGCCCAACACAGTGATGCACAAGGGTAAAGTTTTGTGATCTATGCTAAATGTACATTTAATTCAGACATATTGTAACGGAAGCTTGTTAAATTTTTGAAGTTTTTGTAGATTTCAAAATTATATTCGGGTAGAAATGCGTCTCGATGATTCAGATTTCTGGGAAGTTGTAGTTTTCATTAAAATTAACAAACATTTTTTTTTCGGTGTAATTAAGTTTCACATATCTTGAAATGTTACATGAATAATTGGTTTTGGACTTCCTATTTGGGTTAGTACGTGATTTAAAAAAGGTCACTGGTTAAAAGACGCAATCGATTCTAAGATAAATATGTAAAAACAGCGAGGCTAAAAAATTATGAGTTTGCTTATTTCTGGTAAATCGTTGGGAGTGTTAATTACGGGCGTTGGATTACTCGCGATATAAAAACAAAATGATCAGAAATTTAGCAGACCTTTTCACAGATATTCGCACGGGCGAGTGTCGCTGCGAAAAACGCGGCTACGGGCCACCGAAGTAAAAAGGTTCAAACCAAATAGAATTTGTCGCGCGTTTTGATTTGGAGTTAATGTGTTTTGACCAGAGACAAGCGCCTAGTTCTCTGAAATAATGAATCGGCGAAATCTGTGAATAAGTAATTGCGTTTCAGTTTAACGTGCGCTTGAAAAACGTTTGATCAGAAAAAGTATATAAAGTGCAAAATGGGCGCTAGAAACTGAGTAGTAATTGTGCTTGTCAAAAAATAGACTAACGTGTCGGAGACACTTTTAATTCGCGATGGTTTTTATTTCATTTCCATTACGCGTGTGGGAAAACAAACTGCCTCTTTTACTTACTATACGGTAAAACCTCGGATAAAACGGTTCAGCTATATCAACTACCCCCAGAAGTCACCGATCTGAGGCAACATAATGTAATTGATCATCCACTACACAACACACCTCTTCATCTTGGAAGGAGAAGAATACAAAATGTCTAATTGTAAGTTATTTTTTAAAAGTTATTTTCTTTTAAACTCATTAACCAGGAACTGATTTGTATTGAATTTTAATTGTCATTTTCCAGTTGTTTCTGGCAAATGGGTTTATACAGAGTGGCCCAACGAGAAGTATACAGAGGGCTTTTAGGGTATTAAATTTAGAAATTTCGAAAAATCCTCGAACACGTCAATTTTGTATTCGAGGGGGACAACTTTTGGAATACAAATCACGAACCCAAGTCCTCACTCCTCTACGTAGGGAGCTTAACCCCTAAAACTTTAAATGGAATCCTATGGCAAATGGCACATTATTTGAAAGCCAATTTAATCGTGATTACTAATTTGCTTTGCTTTTTAAATTCTATTGATTCGTCTCGGACATAATTCGCATTTGAAATGGTTTTTTCTAAAAAAACCAAAACAAATGCGATCTAAGTCACTTTGTATTAAAATTTTATTTTGACGCTTCAATTTGTTTGTTAAACTTAAGTGAACCTGTCAGTTCTCCGAAACGAATCAATAGAATTTAAAAAGCAAAGCAGATTAGTAATCACGATTAAATTGGCTTTCAAATAATGTGCCATTTACCATAGGATTCCATTTAAAATTTTAGGGGTTAAGCTCCCTACGTAGAGGGGTGAAGACTTGGGTTCGTGATTTAAATTCCAAAAGTTGTCCCCCTCGAATACAAAATTGACGTGTTCGAGGATTTTTCGAAATTTCTCAATTTAATACCCTAAAAGCCCTCTGTATACTTCTCGTTGGGCCACTCTGTATAAAAAGGCTAGTTATAAGTAGTTTAGCGTCAAGAATTTCGTTGCTGTATAATATAATTAAGTATTAAGTACATTTTTGGATTGGATCCAGATTCACGATAGAACTAATTGAGTAATTAATATAAAAAACAACTGTAAGAGCAGTGGAATTTGAATTGATTTTATTTGTTTTTCAATATCGTAATTATGTTCATCATAAATGTGGGTTTATTTTGTATCAAGCTAGAAACTTCAGACAGTAATAATAGGGGTATTACAGTATGAACATCTCTGTATATACGGTCAAAAATACTACAACTTAGGGCTTGTACTAAGGCAATCTTTTCCATGGGAATTATCTCCATAATTAACTGATAAACATGCTAATAATTGTGAGTGGTTTTCAAGATTTTAGTTAGAATATCACACTTTTTAGAATAATTGCAATGTTTTAACATACTCTTGGAATAGGTACCTCAAATTGTTAGGGACCCTGTTGCATTTTCTCCGAATCCTCTGAACATCTTAGGATTATCATTTCGGAAAGTTGGAGGTGTTGTGCAATGTTTTGAGGGTATTTTTAAAAGAAACCTGACAGAACCGTGTAATGTTTATGTTTAGATATCCCAGCCTTTGCTCCTCATTACAGATGCACATTTTTTTGCAAAATTGGAAGGAGTATACCCAAATACATAGTGAAACCTATTAGTGGAAAAGTGAAACTAAAAGTTAATTTTGTCATCTTTGGAGACTTCGCTCCTGGCACACCTATTAGTGTCTTTGAAGAAAAAAAATTGTTTTAGTCTCCTCTTCCGCCAATTTTTGGACTGTGTAGCAGAAGCTTATCTTTTTCGTGAATTTTTTTTTTCACGCCATGATCTGACTCTCGATTTAATTTGTTCACTGTCAGGTCAAAATCTTTATGGCACGATCGGCGAATATTCTAGTCTTCATACAAATTCTCTGCAAACGATCCTTTTTATGTTTTACTTTGGGCTCCATTAAGAACTAGTTTCCCATAATTATGCTAAAAGTCACCTGTGAGAAGTAGGCGAACTACCTCACGTTAGTACCTTAGCCTACGGTGGGCCAAAGGTGACATCCTCTTCTGTTTCTTTTTTGTACTGCTTCTATAGTCAACAACGTATTGATCATTATCGGTTGATATACGGTTTTGGTCAGAACTAATGTCCCTCGATTATCTCCAGTGTAGCGTATAATAATTAATATACCAGATTTTCTGTGAGTGGCTTCTTTTCAAAATGGGGAACGTCCCAAAGAAATGAAATTGAATTGTGATTTATCCCGGAGGAACTGACATACTACTACTTTTGTTGAGGTATCTGAGAGAGGACATTACGTCAGACCACGACTGCACAAGAGTCCAGTATTGGAGTGGTTGAGTATTCTTTAGCACACCTTGCCAAAAAAAACCCACTCTCGGGAAAATTGGAATTTCAGTGAAATTTCGTCATATTAAGAGGTTTCAAAGGTTCTTTTTACCCCCATAGAGCAATTTACTACTTTTAAATGCGCCATCTGTGAAATTAGACAAGATTTGTAACGGTGCTATGACGGCAAACTATGTCGAGCTCGGCAAAAGACAGTAAAGGACCCGCACGATGATCTATCTAGTTTGACCACACCTCAAAAAAGCTTCCAGTCCTTTGTGCGAGTGATTTGCGGTTAAGACTGCTTGTCAAAGAGTATCGCCTGATCCATTAGTGATGATTAACTTTAAGTTAATTACGCAAATTTACGCGTTATCATTCGTTACAACAGTTTGACGAGAAGCTTTGTAATTAGTGAAATGTTAGAGAAGGGAGATAATCATCGGGTTAGGTACTTTAATTTATTAATATTAACACTGCAATACCAATAATTAACGCAAACATTTTAACGCACATAACAATGTCGTAATCTGCAGAAACTTCCCGTGTCTGGTGTACGTTTAATTATTTTAACTAACTTAAAAGTGAGCTTTGTCGGTGACGTTCATCACGTACTTTCGTTAATGTGAAAGTAACCGCTAATTTAATTAGAACTCATTTAACGTAGTATTTGACTGATTAACAATCAACGCGGGTAATAGAAAAGTTATAGGGATATAATTATTACCTTATCGATTATTCAAAATGCTGTTGCCTTCGCTACTAATGAGAAAGCAATGGAACAGTGTTAACGATAGAGCAGCAAATTTGTGTGGCTATTGTTGTGCAAATGAACGCTTTTATTGAAGTTTCCAAAGGGCTGCGTGTCGGTTCGTCATAGCCCTAAGATAATTTATTTCCACGGCCCATGAATCACGCGGGCGTATCGAACTGGTGACCGCTTGATTAACATGTTGAATTTATCAGTGACTTCTTATCTATACCACCAAGCGATGAGCGATTGAGTTATAGTTATTGCTGTACGACACGATTGCGGAAAAGAAATTTCTAGATTGCAACCGTACCCTTTATGAAGCTGTCATCGTCTTCTCTATTTTGATTTTGAAAACCTTTGTTTGTCGTAATTGAGGGCATCAGTCCCATGTATTGAAACGGAACCTTTAGTACAATAAAAACCCGACTGGAAGCAATTTGCATTTCAAATATTTGATTTAATATTTATACATTAATCGGTTTCGTTTATGCAGTATTCGTACTGTTTACACTCAATAACCGTGTTTTCCAAAATTCGAGCAAATATACTGAATTAGCATATAGTGAAACGCTACCTTATTTGGGATTTGATCTACTTGTAAAAATCATTAACTTCCCTAAGCGCTTTTCAGATTCCAAACACATTTTATGAAAGACATTATTAATTTTTCTATATTTAGTACGTTCTCTTCATTCTGTCATTTTGCCACTGCATTGTTGTCATATACACGCGCCTAATATATCACTTCGATTTTGTTATTGCATTCGTTACTTTCCATATTGTATTAGGTTATTTAATTCATAGGCACGTCATGCAAGAATACAATGCAGAGTAAATTGCTGTAGGTATACATCATACTGATGAATACTGTCTAAAATATTAATTGCAATCAATGTAGAGAGTTATAAGGCATTACTGGTAAAACGCAGAACACGGAAAAGGGTTACTGCCCGATCTTATATAGTCAAACTAACCTTGTTTGTGAGAATTCGCCCCCTCTGGAGTAACTGCATCAATAATATCTAAACCTATGCTTATTGTCACCCAACAAGTGTCCCTGTCCACAAGGAAATGGCTAACATTTTATATATTGAAAGAAAATAGACACGAAAATAATTGGACAGGGACACTTAAGTATGCATCTCCTAAGCCACAATAATTTTTTATGAAATAACTGAAATTCCAACCTACCACGGACAGAAGTCATTACCTCCTAGGAGAAATGGTTATCTCTTTCTTAAATTTAAATGGTTCATTAGTTTTTGGTTTATATTAACGCAATATAACTAGTGGAAACCTTCTGAGTTCGATTCCATTAACATGAATTTTAATTGGAATTTGCTTTGATTCCACCAAATACAAAATCTTATAAGACTGGTTGCAAACTCAGAAATTTCTCCAAATGAGAATACACAACAAACCATATACAAACAAGTTTACATAAGTTTTCGACAACTTTAAAGTCTGTTTGTTGTTCTGAATTTTTATGTAGTCATATTTCAAACTTGGTTTTCTTAAATGGATAATAAAGATACCGATCGAAAATTTACAATATATAATTATATATAATTTGAGTAATGGTGATCCTTGGGTGGTTTACAGTTCACGGGGATGATTGACAAGTGATTGTTTGGAATGCATTCTTAATCCGACGGCATGGATATGATTGAATCCAATTGGAAAAACGGATTTTAAGCTCGGTTTGCCTGCAGATTTCGGTCGCGGTTCCTTTTGGTCACTATTATTAATGGTGGTTGTCAAATTTGATGTGGTTTTATCTTCCATTGTGATTGGTGCAAATAATAAACTGATTAGTTTTTCTTATTTGCAGATGCACGGATTGCGGAGACTGATGCAGGGAGACGCGAAACATCCCAAAGCCCCCTTAGGAAATAACTTTAGACCACCTCAACCTCTTCACCATCGTCCAGTACGAACAAACATTGACTTCAATGTCAAGCATCCGGGTGCGGTACGTTAGGCTACAACATTCCACACGTTAATTAGGAAATATACACTTCGAATCGACTCGCTAAAATCCCCAACACGCGCGATTAAAATTATAACATAAAGAAAATAATATGATTTTATTTTAATTATCAATCAAATGTTTTAGATGTACTAGTATTTAATACGAACACAAAATTAACCGTGATATTACAATTATGTTACGCCACATTTTTGTACCCCGTTTCTGCATTTTTAATGAAACTACTTTCGTCGCGTTTATCTAATTTACGGAACGACATTTTGGGAGAAAAGTGGAAATTCAGAATTAGCATTAGAAAAAAGCGAAATGAATTAGAATTTGTATTATAACTTATCGAAGGCTAAAGGTTTCGTCGTAATTCATTGATGATTTGCAATGTTCCTCCATACCACATCATTAACTTTGCATTAGTTCCATGTGGTTCCATGTATTTGCAATTACTTCGATGAAAATCGCTATTTTCCGTATTATATTGATGCATGCCTTTAGGTAAGTGGTTCTGCAAATGTAATAGAGGTCGCCAAAGCTGAGTTTAATTACTATAGACATTGTTACACTTATCAAAAGTTAGATATAGCTGCAGTGTTCCATGAATTAAATAACCGTGTGGGTAACCAAATAATTGAATAAAGTTAAAAACACAGACGAAAAAGCTCGACGCATACTATCTACATTATAAATTTGCATGTAATACCCAATTTAGTCCCTTAATACAGATTCCATACACACCAACATGGATTATTCAATTACATGCTTAATCGAGTGTATAATTAATCAGTTCAGTTGTATTTGTTTGTCTAATTCTCTTCGTATGTTTAAGTACAGAATTCTAAATATGCCAAGTAAAGTTACATTGCATAAATTATTCGTAATCGGTTTACGCAAAATTGATTGCTGCACTGGTTTACAATAAGCTTTAATGCCTTAAAAAATTTACTTGGACTTTAAAAACGTGCATTTTGATATTCCACACAGGTTTTTTACACGTTTCCTCTTGGTAAAAGACAAGTGGCCCATTCTCCCTTTTCTTTCTTTTCATAAATCCTAGGGTTCCCAAAATGTTTCTTTTCTACAGTTGAGTTAAAACCTCAAATTCACTTCTACAACTAGAACATGGTAACAAACTTGATCAATGAATGAGATGCATTTGTTGTATAACGGTTGATAAGTTCTGGTTACTTCTGTTTCAGGCTGGCAAATACTGCCCCAGCATGTACAAAGATGTATACTACAAAGCGAATAGTTGGAAGCAGCACTGAAATAACGATAATAACAAAAAAACTTTATAGTGAAAGTCGAACTTCAATATAAAACAATACGGTGAAAGTGCATATCGTGAAAATATAATTTTTATAGTGAATTTGAATATCTCAGTAGTGCAAATAAACGACAACAAAAAATAATAATGAAAACATATCATATTTTGGAAGAAATTCAAAAGGTATTATGAGCTGATGTGACCTGCTTTCTGATATTAGAGTAGCGAATTTAGAAAACGAATGCCATGTGAATAGAAAGTTTAATTTTTGTAATTTTTGTGCGTTGAAATCAGCTAACTTTTGTTATCTTGTAAGGCCTAACCGACAAAAAATGTTTTAAAAAAACCAAGCTAAAAGAATGTCAATATAAAATGGATAATATCAAACATGAGCGATATCGGGAAGTGGAGTAAACATATATTTTACGTAAATATGAAATTGTTGACTAATTCTGATACCGTTCCTGTTATTGTTAGTTGTAATATCATATAATGTTTGTAAAAAACCATTTGTGTTTGTAAAGAAAGTTTATTTCTCCTTAATATACATATCTTAATACTTGGTTTTATGCACATTTCAGCAGCGGTTGAACGTCAAAGGTAGGTTGAAAGACCCGATTTGATAATGCAATAGGTATCCTAGTCATGTTTGCATCAACCAGTCTCTGTCACAGAAAATCCACGAACAGGATCATTGAAAATACACGATTTTACTTTAATTAGTTTTCGTGTGGTTAGTTTACTAGTATCGATTGAAATTGATTTGCCGCGGTTAATTCGCCAATATTAAATCAATATTAAAAGCGTGACATTTGAAAACAAAATTGATACTTCCCAAACACTTTCACCTCAACATCCGTCGTACCACAATGATTAAATTTGGGAACTTTGCCATTCACCGTTTACTTTAAAGGTGAACCAAGTGCTTATAGGTTTAGGATGAATTTTAAAAACATTTTAAACTACCGTGTGAAAAGAGAAAGAGTTTTTATAGTTCCAATACTATTTCCTTCCTTTCCACATATTTTGGACCCTCGGTTTATTTGGAAAAATTGCTTGTCTTGATCCCGTCTATCACCCAACTTTTTTACATACGGTCATCTAACACCCTGTATAAGCGAACAAAACAAAGATTTTACAATAAACATTTTGGGAAATACAAATACTTATTAGATTTTGACATCTGAGTAAAAGCCATATATTTCAGTTTATAATATTTCGAAACCAATTAGTTTTTTTTTGTATTAAAGTATAGTCATTTATTTTCATTGCTCAAGCGACTACAATTATTGTTTGTGTTCTACCCTCTCAATTCCTTCACCCCATTGGTTTAATTTTAGCCCAGAACGAAAATATCTTAGCCAGCCTTGTTCCCCTTCAGTAAGTATTCTTTTTAACCTCGCCAATAAAAAATTGGGGGGTTATTGAAATCACTCCACAATTCGATTTTGAAATTTCACCGGATTTACACGTTTCGAGGTCCTAATGGCTGTTTGCATCGACAAAGTTAAACGGAACTTAGCTTAAGCGCAGCTTAAAATCCATGGTAACGATTATTGACACAATAGTTGCCATGGATTTTAAGCTACGCTTAAGCAAAGCTATGCTTAAATTTGTAGGTGCAAACGGCCATAAGAGTCCAAACAAGTGCGTGCAGCATGATTCTTGTAAACAAGATTCAACCGAAACTACCCGACCGATTTGGGTGAAATTTTAAACAGAATGGTCTCGAGAGCTGAAAAGCTTTTGGAAGCGATTCGCCTTTTTGGCAATAAAATCGATATTTATTGAATTAGGTATAACTTTGTAAGGAACAGACCGATTTGGTCGTAATTTTGTACCAAGATTTTAGATACGCAGTTTTCTTTTTCCGACAATTTTCGCAATCTTGGCAGCTTCTGACAACCTTTTAGCTTCCACTTACTCTCCTGACAATTTTTTTTACTGATTCTTCCCATGATGCTGGATTTCTAGCCAATTCTCAGCCGTTCATCTCGCCAGTTCTTTAGTTGGAAAATTTACACATTTGATGGTCCGCTCACGCCCTTAGCTTCCAACGCGTCTTCTGACGGTCGGGCTTTCGCTTTGCCGGCAGTAATCTTTTGCAGGTAAAATGTTTCATGCACCGAAGACATGTCGCATCCCATGTATTCAGTTCTCCGTCTATTAGATGATCCAGGATTAAGGGTGAGCGATGTTGCTGAGAAAGTTAGAAGCTGCGATTGTGAACGCCCGAATAAAAATTGAATCATCTGTTGCACCATCAATGGGGAATATTATTTGAACCTTCTATAGTTCGATGACCATTTTAAGTTCAGTATGTAAATCATAGGGTAATGTTATTCATATGGACGTAAATTGCAATTGAGTAAGCGCTTAGAGTAAAAAGCAAAACAATTGGCCATAATGATATTTTTTTTAAATGGAACACCCTGTATGACAACAATCTCTTCAAAGATAAAAAAAAATATTCAAGCTATTCTATGTTTTAAAAGTTATTTCTCGCTAAATGGAAAGTGAAATAAATTTCAACAAAATATATCCATAAATAAGAAGGGTGATATTACGCAACCTGCGCATGCGCACATTAATCGTCAATTCAAAAAGAAGAAACTAAATATATTGAAAACTGTAGGAGTAATCGCCGCCTCGGTTGCACAGACGAACGGAGTTCCCATAATAGCGCCTTCCAGCATAAGTTGGCAAACGGTTTGCTATCTATAAGATAAGGTGAAATTGGAGTTTTGAAGCGCGAGACTATGGGTGTTCAAAGTCTGCACCAAGGGTTTACCAAAAAGGTGAGATGTCCACGTTATGAGGTTATACTCTGATAGAAACGTGGGTCATTTGAGATACTAGGGTGTTCCAGAGAAAAGTTAGAATGCCTTAGCTGAGAAGGGTTTCTTTGAGTAATCCCTGTGACTGAAGATTCAGTATTGACTCCTGCCTGGACCTAAAGTAGCAGATTTTCCTGAATTATAACAGATAAATTTCAGTAAAGTAAACGTTTTTAATTTCAGAATAGGAATGGTCAGGAAAGGCCCGCAACGAAACAAAGTAAATGTATGGCGCTGGCTCATCTTAATGTAACAGATTTAGAGGTGGAAGGTCTTTCCAACAATGCATCAACATTATAAAAGTCGAAACAATGACCATTTATTTCGTAAAATATGTGCTGCCCAAACCTTAGACTGACATGCTCGATTGAGTATCGGTAAGTCATTCCACTCGAATACAGTTGCGTTACGGTTTCAAAACGCCACCCTGTATAAAGGATACTGTACAAAGAGTGCGCATCCATCTCACGGTACACCCATTCCTTTCTTTCATTTTTGGGGTTATGAAAACCAATGTATACCTGGTGAATTATGAGAAAAACACAGAGAACACTATTATTAGTCGATATTAGAGCTAGAAGAAGTGGTTGAAAGGCACATCAGAATAATTAAGCACATAGCGCTTAATCCATGGGTCAACTAATCTTGATCTTGAGGGGTGCTTCTGAAACTGTATAATCGAGTAAGTGTCTGAAGGCAAACATTTTGGAGCAGACCCACAGCGACAGTATCTTTGAGAGGCGAGTAGTATGGAACGAATTCTTCTAAAGGCACATCTTCTTGGTGGTGAGAATTACATTGGCAAATTTATCGGGAGCAAATTTGGCTTCAATCCTTTGACTTGCACAAAAGCTTGGGTTTTAAGCTACTAAGTTGCTATGAAGTTTGTAGGATTTTTTAATAGACTTGGGAACTAGCTGTTTGAATGGTATCAATAAAAAAAAACGCTTATAAATTTCTTTTAATCTTATTATCTTATACAAGTCACTTGCAGAAAATTTTTTACATTCACTTTGAACAAATGTAACAAAACTTCCACGAGATAAGCTCATGGTAAGCCCAGGCAAAGTAGAGGTTGGTCGGGGTGAATAACGAGGTTCTCTAGCAAAGACAGCAGCAAAAGGGAAATCTAGTGATAATAAACCCGATAGGCGCCACTTAGTCTTTAGTAAATTTAAAAAGAGAAGACTTACCGAAAAGAGAAACAAGGCAAGAACGGACAGGGAAGAACATAAACAAGAATTGATGCCACAATCAAGGGTGATTTAATAAATTATCTCAAAATATTACAAATAGGACACTGTAATACCTAGATCTGAAATGTCAAAGTTTAAATTTAAATCAATTTTTAACAAAAAGGGGTGATCAACTCGTAGTCAGGGAAAATTGTTAAAATCAAAACAGGCTTCTGTAGAAAACAACGCGGCTATAATTGTTAAATGACTATCAAGCAAATGTGGTCATTACAATTCGATTGTATCGAAAACCAGTGTGTAATAAAACGTAAAAAAAAGTCGTCAAAAATAAAAAATAAAACACGTGGCAACCTTTTCGAGCTCAGAAAGGGCGCTTTCAGGCCTTACCTGTAAAAAATAACAACAAATAAGAGGAATAGTGAATAGCGCAACACTAATCAGGTACTCGTACTAAAACCATAATCAATAGTCAATAAGAATCAATAATTCAAATGACTTTACACTAGTAAAAGCAACATTTTTACTCGACCACAAATCGGTCATTACGAAAACATAAACGGGATTCAAGAAAACTAGGTTACGATGCACAAATAACTAAATTCTTATACAACAGCAATGTAATCCAATTAATTCCAAATGTAAATGAGGTAGTATGAACAAATTCCTCGGAGTCACCCACGTAACGTAACTAAATATTTCGAAAACAAATTTTGCGACGACTTGGAGTAGTTGGTGAGCTTTAATTATGTATTAGCGGAATAATAATTACTATTTAATTTAAAAGAAAGCTAAATAGATACACAAATTAATTAAATAAATTGGCGGGTGGACCGACTCGAGCGCCACCAAGCGTAGGGCCTCGCGCCTGGTCGGTGGCGGTAGCAGCGGTCTGTTGGGTCGGTCTCGGACGCTTGGGGTGTAAATTCAACCGGTGTAAACGGCAATTCCGCAAAACGGGTACAGTAAATGACAGCGGAAAAACTAAAACAGAATTACGGCAAACTCCGTAACGGAAATAAAAGCATCAAAATACAAATCAGCGGAATCAAATGAAAAACAAATGCGGGAAAGCGAATACCCCCCCCCCCTCCCCCCTCTTTATAATTAGTGAAACGGAAACGGAAAAAAACTTACTTGCCTTGCAAATTTAACGGAGCTGTAGAAGTTACTGTTCAAGAAAAAACAAAACTTATAGTTACGGTGCGGTAATAGTATATTGAAAGACAAGTGTTACAATGCGACCTATTGTAATACGACTATCTTGTGGCACGAGTGGCGACGCGAAGGGTAGCCACGAGTGTCCGCAAGATAGGAGTATTACAATAAAGCATTGTAACACGCGTTTTTCATACATTATCAGAAACTAGAGGGAACATTAGAACTAACATGTTTTATGTTGGGAACACTTTTTATGCCGTTAAGTTTTAGGTTGGCAGCGTAGTAAGACTGACATTGTGAAGTTTAAACATGGAAGTACCCAACGAAGTACCTACTTGTACTAACTAGTAACTGCCAACTTAAGAGAT